TCCTGCTTAGCACAACTTGTGTCTGTTCTCAGGACCTTCCTATTGGAAGCTGTTCTCTAACTTCCACCTTCTTTTGACTAAAGACAGACTAATGCTTGGTTCAGGTTTCGCCAAGTCATAGCAGCTCAACTCAGCTTTGTTTTCCACCTGCTCATCAGGGAGAGCACCAGGGATAAACATCTCTTCTTCACATCTTTCCAAGCGGTCCTTTTCCAAAGGCAGTCATGCAGCTCTCTCCCTGCTTCCCTCCTGACTTCATTGTACATTTCAGCCTCTATTGCAACTGCCCTTTCCAGAGTTTTTTCACTTATTTCTCAAGTCCCTTTTCTTTTTTCTTCTCTTGTTTCTCCTGTCTCTGTGTGTATCTGTGCACAGTGTGTGTTTACTGTCACAAAGGCACATTTTCAGACCCCTACTCCTGTGGTGACGGACACTCTGAGGGTCCCCATGGCAGGACTGGCCTTTTCCCATCAAGTGAGTCCATACTGGGAAGAAGGGGGTATATATAATCAGGCGGTATCTTTTTATTTAAAAACTGTAAATAAAGTACAGGTTATAGCTATTTAAATATCCCCAAGTTTTCGGTGGGTTATTTTGAGGCATGGTAATTGATTTTTAACAGTATACAGCGATAGCACAGCAGCCCAAAATAGGATTTGTCATTTGCCCCTCCTCCTACCATTGATGTGAAAAATACATGGAGTTGTTTATATCTTTTTTTCCAAATAAACCATCCAAGAATGGTTTTCTTTCTTTTTCAATATAAATAGGAACCCTCCCAAACCCAGTGGTGATGGAGGGTGTGATTAGAGAAGACTGCTTCTGTTTCAAAGAACCTGAAGGTCAAAGGAGAAAATAGAATGACCTGGGAAAAACTGATGACTTTGGCTCCGAGTTCTGCCCAGGCTTGTGCTCTACAGATCTACCGGGGTGGAAACTGAAACAGTTAGCTGAGCCCCTGGGAAAAGGGGGCGCAGGGAACTCATTTGAGGCTTTTGGAAGGCACAGAGCTGGGAATCTCAATCCCACTGCAAACAAGTCTGCTTTCTTATTTACAGAGTAATGGCCTGGTCTGTCTTTAACCCTTACATCAGGCCCCCCCGCACCGTGAGGATGTGGGCTGGGATCCATTCCTTACCTCTCTGCCGATCTCGATCATTAGTCATACTCTAGGATTGCCTATTTTTTCCTCCTCCTTTCCTCTGCCCTTCTTTGTTTTTCTCTTGCTTAGCTCTCAAGCTCTCGCCTTTCCTGTCAGCCTGCTGCCCTGGGCGTTGGATCAGCTGACCTGGCTTGTCCAGCAGTGTTTGCTGCCGGCTTAAACACCACACACCCTTACCAGGTATCTTTAAAGATGGGGAGGACACTAGGGGTTCCTATGCTGCCTCCCCTGCCCTGACACATATGAAGGGCCTCTTGAGACACCAGTGTTCAAAGCTCTTCTGTAGCTTTGGAGGACTAAGATGATTCTGAGCGGGGGGCCTTTTAGACTTCAAAAAAGGAAAGAAGAGTTTCCCAAGTGTTTTCTCCCTGTCTTTCCCTCTGTAGTCATTTCCATGCATGTCTTCCATTAACTGAGCCCCAGAGAGGATAAAGATTTCCAAGTTTTCCTGCCCACTTGGTGGCAGCATTGGTGATGGAAAAGCTGGAAAGCAGATGCCATCATGCTAGGCCGTGAGTTTCCCCGTCTACCTGACACGGCCGTGATTCGCTTTATTTTTCCATTTTTCCCCAAAGCTAATGGTTCCCGGGAAGGAAGGTGGGGTACCCCTTGCTCCCAACCAGCCTGCCCACGGTGCCCAGGCTGGTGACCAGGAGAGACTGACAACCTACACCCCTTCTGATGGGGCCCACTGTGCTGCCACACCTTCCAGCAGGTGAGTTCACATCTTGGCTCTGCTGCTCTTCGGACCAGCCAGGGACCTGTCCTCCCTGGCACATGTGCTTATTTGGTATCAGTAAAGAGTAGCTTTCAGCATTGGCTCAGGCTTGGCCTTTGAGGGAAAAATGTGGAATCCTTAAAATTCTCAATAAGAATCGTATATTGCAGCTGATACGTGAGGAAGCTCTCCCTGGGCACTGCTGCTAACAGCAAGCATCAGGCTTGGTGCTTCTCACCCTCATCCAGTGAAGGTGTTTTTCAGATGTTTCTCTCTTACCCCAGGACTGACTCTCTTGGCATCCTCAGTGTTTTCTGAGACCAGAACAGGGCGTCGTTAACCATAACCCTGACGTCGGGAGTCACAGTGTGTCTGTGGTGGTAGTTAGGATTGATCTTCTTTTTCTACTATGTTAGTGCCTCATGGAGATCCTTTAAAAACAACTATTTTCCCTCACTAAAATTAAAAAAGAAAAAAAAATGTTTTCTGATTGCAGAAGTGATGCAGTCTGTAAAATTCAAAATTTGAAGACATTGATTAGGTGGAAATAAAAGTCCTCATAATCCCACCCTGCAAAAATCACCACGGCTACCTCCTTTTAAAAGACGAGAGGATCTCAGAAGGGTTAAGCAATTTGCCTAAGAGAGCACTTAGCTCACAAAATGGCCAGACACAAGCCTGGCTCCTTGGATTGCAAAGCCTGGGCTTGCTCTTTCCATTATACTCGGAGTTCTGTGGGAAGCTGGGCCTGTCTTGACCTGCCCTTCCCTCCCTTAACTGGAAGACCCCAGATATAATGACGTTGATTGCCCCACCACATCTTAAACGAACTTTCAGATAATAGAAATTCCTGGGGTTTTTTTTTTCCATTCCCACAGAGGAGATGGAGGAAGGGGAGATTGTTTGGGAAGATCTTTCTGTGCCATCCATCAGGAAAAGTAATTACTTTCATTCCTGGCTCCCCAAACTTCCATCCTCTTATCCCTCCTCCTGTCAGAGAATCAAAGGAGGATCCTCTTGGTCATTTTACACTCTCGTTTTCTGAGCCTTGATTCCTGGGGTATGACTGGGAGTAACTTAAGACAGAGGACCCTGTGTAGGGGGTTCTTAAATGCTGGTACTCCCTGCTGGCTGGAGTCTAGAGGCCACGTGGACTGCATAGTGTTCCCCATCTTGAGCCCCTGCTTTGAGGCTTTCCCATCCCCTGCTGCTTGAAGGGCTATGACTACTAGTCTGGCAGCGACAGTATGGGCCCCTGTTTCTGCTGCCTGGAGTCCCCCATCTTCCAGGACTCAGCCTCAGTCTAGAGGGAGGGAGTGGGAACAGCCAAATTGAACATGTCACTGGAACATCTTGCTGAACAGAGGGATGACTGGGGGCAGAGAGAAGGGAGGAAACATGGTGTGGAGCTTTAGATAACAAAACAAAACAAGACAGGAAAAATCTAAAATCTTGAGGCTGGCTTTGTAATTAGATTAATATTAAAATTAGCTGCTTATGAGAGCTGCTTGCCTATATGTATGATTGCTAGATGCATGGTGATTGATGCTTAGCATTGGTATTACAGATTAAATTTTATGTAAGCTCTACACAATTGTAACACCAAGTTTCAATAAACATATGCATAATTTTTAGCTTTTCCAGGAAATGCAGTCCTCTGCTCTCAATTCAAAAGGGAGGGTGACAGTGGCAGCCGCCAGACCTCATATTGCCGTTTCCCACATGTGTGAGCTGGTGGGGGGCAACTCCTGCCCTAGGCTGCAGCCTCACAAGATGGTGGATATATGGGGAACCAAGTAGGCTCTGCTATGGTTTGAGAATGAGAACCAACATTACCTTTCTCCTCCAGTGAGGATACTGAAACTGTGTCAAACAGCAGTGAGGGACGGGCCTCCCCCCATGATGTCTTGGAGACCATCTTTGTCCGGAAAGTGGGGGCTTTTGTCAACAAACCCATCAACCAGGTGATTTTTCTGCCCCTGCAACTGTGAGAATGTGTGAGCCCTTAGAGTGAGGTCTTACCTGGGATCTGTGGAACCACTAAAATCGCATGCGAAATTGTGTGTGTGTGTATGAATTTTTTGTGAAGAGGGTTAATAACCTGTGACATCCCTCCAGAAAAGTTAACTATTGCTCTGTGATCACATAGGAGAGGAGACCACGCCATTAGGTACAGACACGTTACACTGAAGTGTCATTGCCTCAGCCTAACTTGAAATAGGAAGTTCCTCCTCAGCTCTGCCAGTGAAAAGCAGTTGTTACTGAATTACTGTGGGTCCAGCTTCCAAAGCTGAATTCCCAGGGTCCTGGGGAGCCCTCACCCCTATTGATGCTGTGGGCATGCAGTGGGAGGCACGGGAGGTTGGAGAGGTCTCCAACAAGACAGGAACCTGAGGGATGGCATGGTCAGCTGAGGTGTGCACACATGCTGGACCCCCAGGCTTCTGGTGGGCTCTAAGGAAGCAGGCAAACTGGGGGAAGGGGGACACTAATACTTTCTCCCATGTCTCTTCAGGTGACCCTGACCAGTTTGGACATACCCTTTGCCATGTTTGCTGCCAAGAATTTGGAACTGGAGGATGTGGATCCCATGGTGAGTCCACCGTTGACTGAAGTTTGCAGTGAGATGGTGCCGTAGTCGTCGTCCTTCCTGGGCGAGTCATTCACTATTCCTCCACAGACCATTAGCCATGCTCCTTGGCTTTTGGTTTACATCCAGTGCCCAGAACCAGCCCCTCCCTCTGCCTTATTCTGAAACAGGTGAATCCTCCAGATTCCCCAGAGACTACATCTCCTCTTCAGGGCAGCCTGCACTCTGATGGCTCCAGTGGGGGCAGCAGTGGCAATACCCAGGACGACTTTGTCATGATCGACTTCGTAAGTTGCCGTCATCTTCCTTGATCTTTGCTGCTTTGGGGGCAATAAACCTGGAAGCATCCGTTGCACTTGAATAGGACTTCAGGGATCAGATGGGTCAGTATAGGCAGAGGGAATGGGTGCTGGCTGTGCATCTTTTGTGGGGAGCCTGCCCTTACACCCTGCTTGGGGAGGTATTTCGAGGCCCATCAGCAGTAAGGCATTTTGTGCCATGTCTTTGATTGAAATTCAACTTGAAATGGGATTTCAGTGGTAACTGCATAGGTCCTATTCATGAATGGATAGCCCCCAGCCCTTTTTTTTAATGTGTTAATTTTTGGCTGCATCGGGTCTTAGTTGTGGCACGCGGAATCTTTCGTTGCAGCACGCGGGCTTCTCTTTAGTTGTGGCGCATGGGCTTAGCTGCCCTGTGGCATGTGGGATCTTAGTTCCCTGACCGGAGATCAAACCCGCATCCCCTGCATTGGAAGGCAGATTCTTAACCACTGGACTACCAGGGAAGTCCCTGGATTGCCCTTTTCCGAGGAGAGGAGTGTGAAGGAAGGGGACAAAAACCTAACCAGGGGAGAGGGATGTTATCACCAGGCTTAATTCACCTGCCCAGAAGAGAAAGGTGTAAAGATTTCTCTAAGATAAGCCTGGAGGAGCCTTTTCTTTGCTAATTACTGGAAGGAAAGAGGGTTGTTGATAGCTTTTACCCCCTCTGATTTTCCTCTGTGGTCCAAGGCAAGCTAAACTTGAGTCTGTCTTGTTTTTTAAGAAACCAGCTTTTTCTAAAGACGACATTCTTCCGATGGACCTGGGGACCTTCTATCGTGAATTTCAGAACCCCCCTCAGCGGAGCAGCCTCTCCATAGATATCGGGGCACAGTCCATGGCTGAGGACTTGGTATGGAAACCCCTTCCCCCACCCCACCCCATCCTCTGGCCTCCTTTCCTCCTTCGACGGTCAT